TATGCAGATGATACAGCTTTGCTTGCTGAAAGTGAGGATGAATTGAAGCACTTACTGATGAAGACTGAAGACTACAGTCTGAAGTATGGATTACACCTCAATATAAAGAAAACAAAAATTCTCACAACTGGACCAATAAGCAGCATCATAATAAATGGAAAAAAGATTGACATTGTCAAAGACTTCATATTACTTGGTACTGCAATCAACACCAATGGAAGCATCAGTCAAGACATCAGGCGATGTACTGCACTGGGAAAATCTGCTACAAAAGACCTCTTTCAAGTGCTGAAGAGCAAAGATGTCCCTTTGAAGACTAAGGTGTACCTAACCCAAGCCATGGTATTCTCAGTTGTCTCATATGCCTGTGAGAGCTGGACAATGAATAAAGAAGATGGAAGAAGAGTTAATGCTTTTGAATTGTGGTGTTGGCAAAGAATGCTGAAAGTGCCATGGACTGCTAAAAGCACCAATGAATCTGTCCTGGAAGAAGTGCAGCCAGAATGCTCCTAGGAAGTGAGAATGGCCAGACTTCATCTCAACTACTTTGGTCGTGTTGTCAGAAGGGACCATTCTCTGGAGAAAGATATTGTGCTTGGTAAAATGGGGAATCAATGAAAAAGAAGAAGGTCCTCAACAAAATGAATTGACACAGTGGCTGCAATGATGGGGTCATGTATAGCAAGGATCGTGAAGCTGGCACAGGACTTGGCAGTATTTTGTTCTGTTGTATATAAGGTCACTATGAGTCAGAGGTGACTCGATGGCACCTAACAACAACAACAACTACTCAGGTTCAGCAAAAAAAAAAAAACAAGGATGGTTGGTCACCCCAGCAGATCTGAACTTTGCATACTTTGTGATAGTGGGAAGTGTTTCTGTCTCCTTAAGAAAAAGAATATAAAACTACAAATACAAAATCAGGGCTATGGAATGCCTGTGGGTGAGTGGCTGTGAAACTGAACTTCAGCAGCTTCTCGGGCATCTACTTCTGCCAAGAGTCCACATTTGGAGCTAGCCCAGGCTGGACGTGAATCCAGCCTCCCACTGGCTCTGCCTCCCACTGGCTATGGGAACCTGGGCCAGTGACTGACCGTCTTTGAGTTTTAACTCCTTTCTCTATAAATCAAGAACCAAATCTATTGCTATCAAGTTGATTCCAACTCTTAGTGATCCTATAGGAAAAAGTAGAACTGCTTCATAGGGTTTCCAAGGCTGTAAATCTTTATGGAAGCAGACTGCCACATCTTTCTCCTGTGGAGGGCTGATGAGTTCAAACCACCCATCTTTTGGTTAGCAGTTGAGGTCCTAAACACTGTATCACCAAGTCTCCTCCCTTTCCTCTGTAGAGCACTGATAATCACACCAAGACAGGGTGTCCTGGTTAAATGAGACAATATGGGTAAGAGTACACACACATGCACACACATCTGGTATGTGGAGACTACATCTCTTCCTCTCCAGTGACTGTCTGTTGACTGAGTAGCCTGAGGAAAAAGAAGTATAAGGTGCTGGAACCACTTGGTGAGGAGATGGGAAACCCTTTCACTGGACAACCTGGCTCAGCTTCCAGCTCTTTGGGTGATGGGGAGCCAGCCTCAGTCTCCTCCTCTATATTTGGAACTCAGAGTGCTTGTCTTGGCTTGTTCCAGTGCTCAGTGACATGAGAATACAGAAATGATGTCTAATTGTCATTTTTTTTCAATTGTGATTTGAATGAATATTTACAGAGCACATTAGTTTTCTGTTCAACAATTTATACACATTTTGTTTTGTAACATTAATTGCAGTCCCCTCAATGTAACATCACTCTGCCCATTTCCACCTTGGATTCCCCATTTCCATTGGTTCTTCTTTCCTATCTCATCCTGCCTGCTGAACTTTGTATTTGGGCAAATGCTCCCCTTTTGTTTTCATATGGTTGATTGTTTTAAGAAGTACTTTCCTCATAGTTATTATTGTTCACTTCATAATATGCCTATCTATTTGCCTGAAAAGTGATCCTTGGGGGTAGTAGTTCAGTTTCAGGATTGAAGGGTGTCTAAGGGACATAGTCTCAGGGATCCCACCAGTCTCTCTCAGACCAGTAAGTCTGGTCTTTTTTTATGATTTTGAATTTTGTTCTACCTTTTCTCCCATTCTGTCCATGATCTTCTATTATGATTCCAATCAGAGTTGTTGATCATGATAGCTGGGCACCATCTAGTTCTTCTGGTCACAAGCCAGTGGAGGTTGTGGTTCTGTGGTCCATTAGTCTTTTGTACTAATTGCTTTCTTGGATCTTTTATTTTCTTCACTCTTCTTTGCTCTTGTTGTGTTTTGCCATCGAGTCGGATCCAACTCATAGCAACCCCTCCTTGGGTTGCTCTAGACAAAATAAAAAACCAAACTCAACTGCCATCGAATGAGATATAACTCATAGTGACCCCTCCTTGGGTTTCCAAGGCAATATCACTACAGAAGTAGATCACCCAAGTCTTCCTTCTGAGGAATGGCTGGTGGGTTTGAACCGCCAGTCTTCTGATTAGCTGTCAAATGCCATAGGCACTAGGCTACCAGAGCTCCTACTGCTCTATACAAGGAAAGGTTAATAGTTGTATCTTAGATGGACGCTGGAAAGCTTTTAAGACCCCAGTCTTGGAACACTGCCTTTGTGACTGTATTATGTCTATTTACTTAAAATCCTCCAAGACTATGTACTAAGCTCCCAAGCCCAGTCAGTGATTCATTCCCTTAAGATGTTTGGTTATAGCTACAAAGTTTTCCTAACTTTGCTCCTTGTATGCTCTACTATATCAATGGTTATATTTACAGCACATACAAATACATTTGAAAAATGTCCTCTGCAAAACCTATATATATTCATGTGTGTAGTCCCATTCACCTTCCCATATCTGTTCACCTTGCATGTCTATCTCTGTGTTCACTCATAGATTATTCTTTATTATGACTGTTATTGCAGTATTATGTAAGTAATAGTATTTATTTTTGTTGCCTTTAACTCTTGTGCACCTTCCAATGTCTTCCTTTGCCTTGATCATATCCTGTGCTGTCCTCCCATTTATTGTAAAATGTTTCTCTTCACCAAAGTTAAATGCCTGTCTAATTTAAAGTGTATCCTTTCAGCCAAAGGGCCAAGTCTGAGGGGATTCAACAATAGAGATTTGGTTGACTGGACCTGAAAATGCTGAATTCACTGGGATCACTGATGCATCTTCTCCTTCTTCCTCTCAACCGTTACTAACTGCAGGTCAAAGAGACCTCACCCTGGGGTAGCAGGGTGGGGGGAATTGCTCCTGCGAAGGCTTCTGAAGAGGACACCAAGACCCATACTAAAAACCCCTTCAGGAGCAGACAAGCCTCCTCTGTCTGTGGATACACTCTCTTCCAAGGGCATCCTGAGAAGTGAACTAGATTGAGCTGAAGTGACTACCTTGCAACTCCTGTGAATGACCCAGCCAAGAGGAGACAGTCCACATTTCCAACTAAAATCCAGTGTCAGGGCAAGCAGATGAGGGTCTGGCCTACGAAATTTTGCTGGCAATCAGGAAGACTTCTGGGTTTACTGACTTCTCCTAGTGGTCAGCTACCCAGAGCCTCCAAATGCCTTAATGTTCTCCGGGAATAGGGCTCACTACTTATGTGCAAGAAGCTCTGGTGGCATACTGCCTAAGGCACTTGACTGCTGACCAGAAGACTAGTGGTTCAAACCCACCAACCACTCCTCGGAAGGAAGGTTGGGCAATCTACTTCCATAGTGATACCCCCTCAGAAACCCAAGGAGGGGTTGCTATGAGTCAGATTCGACTCGACAGCAGTGAGTTTGGTTTTGGTTTGACTTATGTGCAAACCCATCCTTGTGCTGGACTTCTGTGTTAGCAAGTCCATCCCAAGACTGAAAAGTTGTCCTTGAAGTGTTCACCTTCCCCTGGAAGCCTTGAAGAATGGGTCTACTCCCCTCCAAGGTCACCACCTGGGAATTGCCATCTCTTCTGGGACATATTAGTCTGAGAAATTCTCCTTAGTGGAGACAGAGAGGCCCACTCTGCTGCCCCCACCACACCTGTGGAATCCACTAGTGACCCCTCAGAGCTGGTCTGGTCTGGAGGAAGACAGAAGAAATGGAGTGGAAGTACCAAGAAGTTATCTTGAAAACCTTGACCAAGTAGCCCCTCATCACAATCCTCCTCTTTGTTAGTGTTACCCTCAAAGCTAGTAGGGACAGTCCGTGGAACCTCTTTGGATTTCCAGGGCAATGCCCCCACCAACTTTTATCTCTTCCTTTAATTTCTCTACTAGGGAGCTCTTCTAGTGTAAGGCTGGGCTGGTCCCCTAATGCTGTTATTCATTGGCTGCTGGGATCCAGAGAAGGGGTCAATACCAGAAACGTCAGAAGGGTGTACATACCAAAAAGACCAAACTTACTGCTGTTGAGTCCAATCCGACTCATAGCGACCACTCCTTGGGTTTTCAAGGACTGAAGTAGATTGCCCAAGCCTTCCTTCCGAGGAGTGGCTGGTGAGTTTGAACCACCAGCCTTCTGGTTAGCAGTCAAGTGCCTTGCTCAGTAAGCCACCAGAGAGGGTGTACACAGAAAGGGAAAATAACCAGAACTTGGGGGCCCTGTGAAGCCTCAATTTTCTATGGTCCTGAGTTATGGCAGTGAGTTTGGTTTTTCTTTTTTTAGTTCTGGCAACCTGGGGGAAGACATTGCACCCTGTTCACAACTCATATGGGGAGGGAAAGGCTCCTTGGCCCCAACACGCCAGGCTGGGGCAAAGGGGACCTGGTAGGAGAAGGGAGTGTTTTCCTCAGTTCTCACCCCCTCCCGCCCTCCAGCTCTGCTGGGAACGAGGCTTCTGCTTGGCGCTCACTAATTGGTCTCATTAGGCAGCAGTCAGGAGCACTCCCAGCTGCGCTGATCCAAGCGGTATCATCCGCTTAGCGCCCTCTCACCACCCTGCGCTCCCGCCCTGCCCTCCCTCCCGCTGCAGCCGCCACTATTATCTCTGCGCTCTTGGTGGTCACGGGAATGCTCGGTGCTCCAGTGCCAGCTTCGGCGGCGGCGAGCATCACTACCCGCCCGCGGAGATATGAGGCGAGGCCTGTGGACCACCCTGGCCCTGGGGCTACTGCGCCTCTGCCTGGGTGAGTAGCCTCCTGGCCAGGTGGGAGTGGGCCAAGGGCGGGCGCTGTTTTTCCTGGCGGACGCCGGGACTGTGTCCTCTGACGGGCAGGTGGTCGGGCGCCTGCCAAGCTTCCCCACAGGGATTGGACTCTCCTGAGGCGTTTCTCCCGATGGCACTGCCCTGGATCCCAGAGCTAGTGCCCAGAACCCCCACTGCCTTCCCAAACGGGGCGGGGTTGTATGTCGGCTGCTGCGATGGCTGCGTGGAGCAGGAGAGGTGGGCTGGATACCCCCTGCTTGGCGGCGATTAGAGGTGTACCTTGGGAGGGGCACTGCTCCTTTCTGGACTCCGGTTCTCAATTTGCCCATAGAAGGGGTGGTATTGCCCCCTGCCTGGTTTCTAGTGTCCAGATTGTGTGTGACCGACCCTGCCAAGCCCAACTCCTGTCCGTGACCGCAGCTGATGCGGTGGGTGGAGGGACTTCATCGTGGTGCCCCAACCAGCTCCGTGGATGCTCTCTAGCCAGGGAGGAGGAGCGCCCGCCTGCTGAGGAGTGAGATGGTGTGAAGCTGGCCCTCTGGTGTCAGGGTGTCCATCTGTTTTCCCGTCTGTGTTCTCTTTCAAGCCCAGGCCAACTTTGCCCCCCACTTCTTCGACAACGGGGTCGGCAGCACACACGGAAACATGGCGTTGTTCAGCCTCCCAGAGGACACCGCTGTAGGTCAGTAGCACTGGCACGGACCCCCCATGGGTCTCCTCAACTGGGGGCTGTTGTTCCCTTGAATGCAAGGACCAAATCTGACTCATTTGAGCCTGTGGAGCGGCAGTCTGTGTGGGCTCCCGCGGGGCGCCATGTTCACGCTGCGCATTCCCCAGGGGAATGGCAGGAAAGGAGGTCACAAGGCTGTCATAGCGACCTAATCCTACCAAGTCCTGGAGGCCCAGCTGCAGGCCTAGACATAGGTCCAGCCTAGGCGTCAGGCAGGTGTGCACATGACTTGCCCACTACCGGCTGTGTGACCTTGAGCAAATGGCTCTTTCCTTGAACCTTCTATCTCTGGGCTCTACAATGGCCCAGGGATATGGAACCCACTGGACTATGCAGCAAGAAAGGGAGATGAGAGATTTTCATGCCCTCTCTCCAACTGGTTGGGATTGGGACCCTGGGGGAAAGGAGGTAGGGAGTAAAGAAATGCCTGGTTCAGAAATTCAAGAACAAAGCATGGAGGTACCAGGGTACACCCTGACCTCCTCTCACTCTCTTCTTCTGTCTTAATGGCTGCTCCCTTTTGCACTAGCCCCCTGTGCCCAGGGAGCCCCCAACTTTGGCTCTTGGTACTAGAATCATTCAGGTCAAATGGAAAAACAGGCACTGGAGTCAGACCCTCCAACCTAGACCTCATCTATAATCTACATTAAAGATTACAATCTGCGAAGTGGTTGATAACACCATCTCACTGATAACAGCATCTTACTGACAGCTGAGGTGTGAAGATAAGAGTGAGAGCACCCTTAAGAACAGGGTGAGGTCCACATTAAGTGCCAGACTCTAGGCTGCATGTTTGGAAGGGCTTTTGATATTTGCTTTATAAACCATCCAAATCCTTGGTCCTGTGTGCCTGTCCTTGTACAAAAGCCTGGGCCCAGGTTCTAGGTCTCTCCTCTGTATCCACTTCCAGGCTCTCACGTGTACACATTGAGCGGGATAGACCCTGAGGGAGACCCCATCTCCTACCACATCAGCTTTGACCCCAGCAGTAGAAGTGTCTTTTCTGTGGATCCCAATTGTGGAAACATCACCTTGGTTGAAGAGCTGGACCGGGAGGTATGAGATGGGGCAGGGAGGAGGTAGAACCTGCCTCTCCCCTGCACACAGAGACACCTCTGTGACTAGACAATCCTTTGAGAGAACCAAGGGTATGGCATGAGACCCACCCTCTGTGGAGACTCTGGAGGGGACAGAAGAGGGCTGCCCAGGCTTCTTCCTCTTATCTAGGAGGCTTAACTTTCCAAGTGAATAGTGGTGTTCCTGTAATGATTAACTGCCAGTCCTGCTAATTTTTTTAAGCATGTTCAATTAAATAGGAATTCTGTTTGCACTTTGCCTTTCAGAAATGTCATAAAGTGATGTTTTGACCTGTCCTGTAACCCAGAGCAAACTCAGATACCAGATCAGGGCTACAAGGAGGGATTCAGAGGGTGGGTCTGAATTTGATAAAACCCTCCCCCTTGAGTCTTTCTGAGCCTATGGGTAACAGTGTCTCCTTCATGAGACTTGTGGTCCTAGTTGGCCACATACTGGACCACAACTGTGGAGCTGCAGCAACTTTAGGATACTGACAGAACCCACTACCCCTGGCCAGGGTGGACAAAGGAAATGAAATATCTCAAAGACAGCTAGGGAGGTTGCAGCAAAAGAGGCTGTAGCTACACCATCAACAACTCCCTCCTGGAATCCATGGGACCTGGTGGTAGCACCTCACCATCACCACAACCACTGAGGGGCTGCCATGTCCTGGGAGCACTTGGGATACCACAGAGCTGGACCTCTGCAGAATCATGGAATATGGGAGAGAAAATGGGAGGAAAAGGAAAAGAAATCATCTACCTGGAACATTGACACACTAGGGTTAGCTCTCTCCTCAGTCAAGCAGGAGAGCATTTTCTGCTGGAACCTCAGCAACCTCTCTGGGTTTATGAGAACCCCACACAAAGTAGGGTGGGCAGCAGCTTTGGGTCATGCATAGCACATGGTCATCACCACCCCACTCTGCTCTGGGGCTTCTGTGATGGGCATGCTGGGGCAGGGAGAGCTCCTTCCAGACTTCAAGTCCCCACAAAGTGCAGGAACCCTGGGCACTCACTTGGTCCTTATGCTTCCAGAGGGAGGACGAGATTGAAGCCATCATCAGCATCTCTGATGGCCTGAATCAGGTGAGTGTAGACCTGACCCAGCCCCCTGGCAGCAGGTAGATCCCTGGGCACAGCTCTTGCCCAAGCCCTCCTGGGGGGAAGGGGGAGCTCCCTTGCAAACCCAAGCCAAGGCCCATCAAGGTCTGCTGCAAAGAGCCCATAGGAGGGGGCTTCAGGGAGGCCATGGAAAAAAGAAGGTAGGGAGAAGGCATGGGGAGACCAAGATCAGTCGGCTATGCTCCTGATGAGTGTAACTCACTTTCTTCAAATCTTCTCAAGCTTGCTCTTGCATCAACCTCTGACCTGGTTCTTGGCTCTGTGCAATCATCCAAGCTGAATCCCTGGGCACTCAGATCACTCCTTCTTCCACACTATTCACTCCAGGCACCACTTCCCCTCAGCCCTCTTCAAGCTAACTGGATAACTGCAACATGCCCCTCAGGGGTTCTCTTGCCACCTGTCAGCTCCACTCCAACCCACCTCCACCTACTGCGAAAGCCAACAAGTGGAGTAGACAACTGGCCACTCCTGGGCTCAGAAAGTGCTAACATGTGGCCCCACTGCCCTCATGGTGAAACTCCTGTAGGTGTAAACTCCTGTAGGAGACTTATCTGCCTCATCCACCTCTTCTGGTTCACCCACCCTACCATCCAACTATAAATCTACTTGTGTGTCCCATACTCACAATTCTTTCCACTCCTTTCTGCCTTTGCACTCAATGGTCCATCTTCATAGAATACCTTTCCATGTCTTTCCTTTTCACCTTGGAACTGTTACCAGCTTGATTCTCACTTCTTCTATGGAGCTTCCCTGATCTCCACAGACTGGGATAAATGCTTCTTCTTAGCCTCTGGGCACAGCCTCCTGGACTGGATGCATTTTCCTAAGTCCCAGTGTCCGTGGTGGCTCTGGAGCTGTGGAACAAAGGCCCTGCCCACAAAGCCTGGCATAAAGTTGTTACATTACCACACTGGATGACATCACTACCATTCTTCTATCTGCTTGTCTTTGCCTCTCTCTCCCATCCACCACCACCACTACAAAATGCACATCATTGGACAGTCTTTTATGTCTCCAGGATTGAGCACAGTGTTTGACATCAAGCAGTCACTTAGTAATATTTGGTACATGAATGGATAGAAGAGGGAAGGGGTGGAGGGAATGGGCAGAGACATACATCTGGGAGCATTAGAGGTCATTGCTCCTTTATCCCCAAGAAGGTTCACTGCTCCCCTCCCTGTCTCCTCTGTTCCCACCCAGGTGGCAGAAAAAGTCATGATCCTGGTGACTGATGCCAATGATGAGGCACCCAGGTTCATTCAGGAGCCATATGTCATCCTGGTTCCTGAGGTGAGTGAGACCAATACATCCTTCCAGGCTTGCAGCATGAGCATCCCAGAGTTAATGGGTGTACCCCTCCATCACTTGCCCCCTCAGGACACCCGCTGCCCTCTGGATCCCCTCTTACTCCCCACTCCTCACCTGTCACTATTCCTCTCACACAGTTATCGCTGTTCTCAAGGAATGTCTGTTTATTATTCTCTATTATCATGGTAATATGTTTGTTGTAGAAAGGTGATATATATAGAAAAGTAGAAAAAAGAATTTAAAATATCACTCTCAATTTCTCCAACTTAAGAATTATTAAATTTTGGTGTATCACCTTTTAGTCTTTTTTGTAATTATAGGATTTTATTTTCTATTTGTTCTACATAGCTGTGACTATGTAAAACAAATGGTTTTTGTGTCCTATATTTCACTTAGTATGCAATTAGAGCATTTTCCTCATAATTGCAAAGTTTAAGTAACTATTACTTTAATAGCTTCCATCAAAGGAACATTTCATCATTTACTGAGCCATTCCCTTATGTTTGAATATATAGATTGTGTTACATGTTTGCAAGGAGCCCTGGTGGCACAGTAGTTAAGAACTGGACTCCTAACCAAAGCAAAGAAAGATGTGGCAGTCTGCTTTTATAAAGTTTTCAGCCTTGGAAACTCTATAGGGCAGTTCTATTCTGTCCTATAGGGTCAGTATCATTGGAATCAACTCATTGGCAATAGGTTTGGTGGTTTTTACTATTTTTACATTTTTATTATGATGAGAAACACAAAACTTCTGAGCATCATCTTTTATTTACTTAAGATATAGCCCAAGATTTGAAATTCCTGGGTCAAAAAGTATGAGGGCCTATGAGGTGTCACCAAATTACCTTTCCAGAGAGCCCCTACTTGCTCTCTCCCCTTCATCCCTCACCAACACTGGAGATTCTCTAATCATTAAATATTTGCTAATTCAGTGGGATAAAGCCATTTCTTTCTCACTCTAATTTGTATGTACATGTTTCCTGGTGATGTGTATATTTCCATGTTTATTGACCATTTTCTCATTTGTGAATTGGCTTTCCTCTTTTAAACCCTTTATCTATTTACCATCTTGGCTTTTCCTTCCCTCTCTCCTTGAAGTCATTCCTCCAGTTGCTCTCCATCTCTTTGTGTTCTTCTTTTTTATTTTCTCCCTTCCCCTCATTTATTCTGTCTCTTCTATTGCAGCCCCTCTCCCTTTGAAGTTCCCATGCCATAGCATTAGCATTCACATCTTTTTAGCCCTTCACCCCACTAAGCCCACCCCCTCCATGCTCCCCCAGCACTCCCTGTACTTTCTGTCATTGCCCCTGGCTGACCCTCCCTGTGACTGTGACTCCTCAGGACACACCTGCTGGGAATAGCATCTTTAAAGTCCATGCAGTGGACAGGGACACAGGCTCTGGAGGGAGTGTCACCTACCTCCTACAGGTAAGGTGGGACACACAGGATGTAACCAGAGGCCCCAGGCTAGAAGGGACAACAGTTAGCCACCACCTTGATCACCAAGGCCCTCAAGTCTTCACCTCTGCTGTTTCCAAAGATTTTCAGAGATGCAACATGTCTAAAAGGTCTTGGGAACATAAGGATAGGGCAGACAGATGGGAACATGCAGAGGCCTGAAGCAGAACCTTTCTTTCCCTGACTGGCTTGTCTGGGATACCTGGCATGTGGCCTGCTCCTTCCTTCTTCCCAGGTCTCCCAAGCCCCTGATCCCTTGCCCAGGAAAAGGTCAGGCAATTTGCACTCACCCAGGGTGGGCAAAACCTGACTGAGTGTAGAATGGCCAATAGAAAAAAATAGCAGAGGGGGCAACTCTCAGAAGAGGGCAGAGCTCTAATCCTTCCCCTCATCATAAGCCAGGGCCCCTTTTCCACATTTTTGGACCCTCTCTGGCTCCCCAAAACCATCTTCACTCCCTCATGGCAGCTGTTTCTGTAGAATTCACTGTTCTCTTCACATCTGATTTCCTATGCTTATGACTTTTCAAAGCAACAGTTTTTGGTGGCTAAAAACATTAGGCTTTGGCGAAATCCCCTAGAACCTACAAGTTCCAGATAGATCCTGCCACTTACTACTTCTGTGACCTTTAGCATGCTATTTAATTTTCTAGGACATTTTCCTCATGTGCAAAAGGAAAATCACAAACACACCTCTTCATTGCGTTGTTGTGAGGATTAAATATGCACAAAGCATCTCTAACAGCACCTGGTCCACAGTGCCTTAGCTGGACTGGCCTCTCTGAGCCCCACACCCACCCCATCTCCCACAGGTGTTCCTCACCTGCCTTCATCTAATTCCCCATCATCTCCTGACCCTCCCTTTTGATGCTGCCTGGGATATCCCACAGCCACTTCTAGATGTGGTTTAAAGACCCAGAAAATTCTCTCCTTCCCTATGGCTCTCAGCTCCTGCCCCTCCAAGTTAGAGCTGCTGACATGCAGATGTTTCCACCTACTGGAACTTCCAGGTAGGAGCTTAGCCCAAAGCTGAGTCCAATTTGTTTTTCAGCTGAGAGAAAAGATGAGGCCCTGCTGGAAGGAATGTTGCTAACTTGGAGTGGCAGAGTGGCAAAGGAAGCCCAGAGCCCCATGAAATGGGATCTAGGAAGTCAGATAGGCTAGGACCTTGGTTCCTGGAAGGAGGAGCAGTGAGGACTCCTCTTAGATAAGCACAGCAGGTTCTTCCAAAAAGCCCAGCCTGACTTCACCCTTGCAGAACCCACACTCCACTAAATTTGCCATGGACCGCCACAGTGGTGTGCTGCGCCTGCAGGCAGGGACTACCCTGGACTACGAGAAGGCCCAGGCCCACTTTGTCACAGTGGTCGCCAAGGTAACAGAGTGGGGTGGATGGAGGAGCAGGCTTTGTCAGGGGAAGCTGCTTTCTGATTGGAACACAGTTACTTTCCAGATTGGATATGGTAGGGGTGGGGGAGCAGATGCTGAGGACCTATGTAGGATCTGCTGGACAGATCTGCTTGTCCCTTCACACCCCCAAGACCTGGCCCTTGGTGCCTCCATCTCCCTTGCCAGACTGGCTCACTCCCACCTCCTCCTCTTCATGTGACCAGTCACCTCCTGAGCCTCAGTTTCTTCCTACGCAAAGTAAGGACAACCTCACCCAGTTGTGTCTTCCCTGAGTCCATTGTATCTCTAAAGTGCCTGGTGTACAACTGCAGCTTAATGGCTGCTAAGTACATGTAGCATCTCTCCTCCAAATGTAAACATACCTCTGGGCCCAGCATTCTCTCTTGAGGAAGGCCCACACTAGAGCCCTGAGCCAGGACCATCCACAGTTACTCTAGGAGGCTTGGCTGTCCACACCTGTGTTGGACTACCACCACAGACACTCAGAGTGCTGGGCCCAGTCAGAGCCTAGGGTGGGGGAGGAGGGCTTCACCACACCCAGCCTGGGCCAAACACACAGTAGGTCTTCAGGAGGTGTTTGAGGTTTAGTTTCCCTGGCTGCATTGTGAGGTTGTGGCTCAAACCCTCCTCCTCTGTCACTTGTCCCACATGGATTCCTGGGTGAGAACTTAATCTGTTTCCAAAGAAGCTAACCAGAGACCACTACACATGAGCTTCTTTAGTGTCCCCAGAATTATCTCATTTATACAGGAGCAGGCAGAAACACAGACAGGGGCAGCCTCACAGCCAAGTCAGTGGCTGGAGCTAGATTTGAACTCCATGTCTGACTCCAGAGACAAAATCCTCTTAAGTGCTCTGTGGCTCTGACTCTCCCAGGACGGAGGAGGGAGGCTCCGGGGGGCTGACGTTGTATTTTCAGCCACTACCACCATCACAGTCAGAGTGGAGGATGTCCAGGATACAGCCCCTGTCTTCGTGGGCACACCGTACTACGGCTACGTATATGAGGACACCATTCCAGTGGGTATCTTTTCCTCTCAGCCCAATGTCCCCCCAGATGCCTCCTGCCCTGTTGTTGTTGTTGTTGTTATGTACCATCGAGTCAGACCTGATTCATAGCAACCCTCCTTGGGTTTCTGAGGTGGTATCACTACAGAAGTAGATTGCCCAACCTTCCTTGTGAGGAGTGGCTGGTGGGTTTGAACCACCAGACTTCTGGTTAGCAGTCAAATGCCTTAGTCACTATGCTACTAGAGCTCCCACCTCTTGCCCTAGCCTCATGCTTTCCAGGGATCTCAGGGATACTTAGTCACTGTAGGTAGGTTCAGGCTCTGAATATAGAGGAGAACACACACTCATGCCTCTAGCAGGTGCTGGTGTCAGAACTGGGCTAGGTATATCTCTATCATTTAAACCTGCCACAGCCCCCAGCCAGTGCAGATCCCAGAAGGCTGAGTGAGAGAAGAGGGACTAGCAGGTGGCCAAGAGGCTCAGTTTGGGTTGGTGGCTTTTTCTTTCACTTCGCAAGGTTCTTGTGTGCCTCCCAGTCCCAAGCCTGCAGTTTAGGCCACTCAGATGAGCTGTTCTGTAGTGAAGTGCTGCCTGAGTCATCGAGATATATCACAGTTCAGGCCCTGCTCAAAGGCTGGTCTTAACTTGCCTCCCCCCTCAATACAAATTTTGCCTTCTGCTCCTGTCTTCAGGCCCCTCAGTGACTCTTCAGAACTCACACTACCCTCTCAACCTGACATCCAAAGGCCAGCCCCCTTCCACCTCTGTAGCCTTTGTGGCCCTCCATACATCCCACTCACTTCACCACACTGCCTCTGCCCCCTACCTACAAGGTGTTCTGATGTCCTTTCCCTTCTGAAGCCACTTTAGTCTCCTCTTTCCCTGGCATCTTTGAGGTGGTAGCTCCACCTCTCTGCTCTCAGGCATCCCTCTGTGAGCGCATCCATTTTTGGGGGTACAATCTTATGCCTTCCTCCAACCAGACTGAACGTTCCCAAGGACAGAAACAGGAAAGAGCCACCCTGTGCCCTCAGACCATGCCAAGACCTCACATGGCCATGCTGCAGCACTCTCTGTGGACTTAAGTTGCATTCTCAACTTGTCCCTTTTCTGATTACTTCCAACTTTATAAAACAATGAAAAACATTCATTGAGGTCCCTTCCATATGCTGGCACATGTTGAGACACACCCTTCTCAGAAGCTGGCAGCCTAGTGTAGTGACAGTACAGAGCAGGGAGAGAAATGTTGAGCAGTTGGGGTGGGGCTTAAGGCAGGGTGACAGGGCCTAAACAATTCTGCTAAGAGTTAAGAGCAGAAGGAGAATCAGAACAAAGTGTTCCTGGGAGAGTAGCAGCACTCGGACCATGGCCAGAAGTAGTCATGTTTTATGGGAGCCTTGCCCAAAACTTTTTGAACATCACCTTGGACCCCATAGGATAAAATCCTAATTCCTGCACTTTACATGTGTGGCCTGGTCCTGCTCTGACCAGCCTCTCCTCTTCCTTTTCATGGACCTCTAGGATGGGATGTAGACCAAAGTTGGGTAAGAAATATTGAGGAGGCAGGAGAGGTGAGGGCTGAGTGTAGTGTGTGGGGTCAGAGGTTGGGGCTGTCCCTGGCCAGCCCACATGTCCAATACATGTTGGGAGAGCAAGTGACAGGAGTCTGGCAGGCTCCTTTCAGCTCCAGGAACACGCAACAAAGAGGTGGTTCTTGCTCATCCAGCCACACTCTGTTCAAGGATGGGGCGGCCTGGGAAGGGGAGTCCTCCCAGAATCACAAACCAGCCTTAGCAGCTGTTCCTGTTCCCTAGGGCTCGGAAGTGCTGACGGTGGTGGCCATGGATGGAGATCGGGGAAAACCCAACCACATTCTCTACAGCCTTGTTAATGGTAGGTCAGGGGGCTCAGGCTGTTGCTCTGACTCTGGGTAACCAGAGAGATTTCTCAGCCTGCCTGTCTCTGGGCCCTTGTTCCCTGTCTATAGAATCTGGAATGGTGTAATGAGGGGAGGACTGGGCCCTTTCAGGAGGCTGTGCATATTCTACTATGTGCCCCCCCCACACACACACACCACTTATCATTGCATCTAGCAATAGGAAGGGCTGCATGAGGCCTATAATCAGCCAGGGGGAGCTGATTCATGGACCTCTTTACTCACTGATGAGAATGTTTGGCAACATTGCTTACACTCTAAATTGCTGTATTTTTTTTTCTCTCTTTTTAATGTTTTGTCCTATAGCAGATAGCTGAATTAAATGCAATTGTGATGTGGCATCTCCCTAGTACAAGCCCTATATATGGACATGAAAACTGAGGCTCAGAGAAGCTAAATGGGCATCTTAAGTTCCCACCACCAGGTTTGAACCTAAGTCTGCTGGCTCCCAGGTCCTTGCTCTTTCCACAACTAGATAGCACTGAGTGAGCTGAGACATTTCTAGAGTAGCTGATCCCTACAGGGCCAGGACTCTAGGCCAGGGCATCATATCTGGTGCTCAATCCCAGATGTACATGTCTGTACACTACACCCAGAACCACCACTTACTTGACCCTGTCCCCAGGACATGCCTGGTGCACACTAGCCTTCCAACGGCTCACATTGGAACAAACTTACCATCACACAAGGCTTCTTTCCCTGCAAAACAGATTCTGAATGCCTTCCCTCGCTACTATCATTGCAAGATTGTACATAATTACACATAACCCACCCCTCCCCTTCTCTCCTCCTGTCCTCTTTTCTCCCTTCCCATCTCTCCCTCTCCTCATTCCTCTCCAGTCTCTTTCCATTTCCTCTCTTCTCTCTGCCCTTCTCTCCTCTCTCTTCTTCCTTATCTCCCTCCCTCTGTATTTCTTTCTTCCTACACACACACACACACACACACACACGGCATGCACAAAGGAAGGGAAGCAGTGTGGAAACTGGGAGGTATACAAAAATAAATTCAAGTCTTAGCTCTTCACTTACTGTGTAATTTACTTAACCTCTCTGAGACTCAATTTCCTCATTGGCAAAACATAGTTAATAGTATTGCACTCTATAGAGGAAACTTTGATGATATAATAATGCATGGAGAGCAGGTGGTACCCAGCACAGCACAGCTCCCCTCTGCCCTCTGTGGCCCTGGGCAGAACTGCAGGGTGCATCTCTGGTCTGTGGCAGGGAGTGATGGAGCCTTTGAAATCAATGAGACATCTGGAGCCATCTCAGTCATCCAGAGCCCTGCCCAGCTCCGGAGAGAGGTGTACGAACTGCACGTACAGGTACCCCCACTCTGGCTTGCCGCTCCCTGCCGACCATCCACTCTTCCCCAGCTCATCCTTTGAGTGGTGGTGGCTTCCTCTTCTGAAAGTATCCTTCAGAAAATGCAGATTGGTGCATTCCAGCCACTGTGCCCCTGACAGTTTCGATAACAACTCTCACCTCCACCAGTACTATCTGAGAATCTACTCTGCTCCAGAGATCCCCACATGGCCCCAGAGGGCTGCCTTGGCCCTGGAACTCATAGTCTGGGGAGAGACTAGCCATTGCCCAAGAAGCACCTACATCAGGTGCCTGTGTGGAGGCTGCATGCATGCACACCAAGCCCCTAGAAGGAGGGGGGAGACAAGACACTACAACCAGAGAGTTGTGAAAAGGTGGGAGAGATGGGATTGAAGCAGTGCCTAGAGCACAGGCAGGACCACACAGGTGGAGATGGTGAAAGGGGAGATGGGGGAGGGGTGAAGACCTTCCCTGCTATGAAAGCCAAGAGAGTTCAGCTTGAGGTGAGAACACAAATGGATCTGAGGGCATCAAGGGCAAATGGGACTGGAGCAAAGAGTCCATAGTTGCATGTAGAAAGAGAAAAGGTTGGCTCTAAGGCTGAGGCCTGTTGAGAACTCTGGGCTGTTTTCAGAGCAGGGCTGGTTTTGAAGTCATGCAGCCCCCATGCAGGAGAGTCCCACCCTAGGCTTACTGCTCTGCTGTGACCATCTTGACATTCTTAATTTTTGAACAAGGGGCCCTCATTTTCATCACACCTTGGACTTCACAAATTATATAGTTGGCCTTGATCGAGAGTAATAAAGAACCATTGAAAGGTTTTCAGCAGGATTAGAATCACATGGTAGAAAGCTCACTGTGGCTGCTAACCAAGCCAGTGGGGTCCCCAGATTTAAAGAGTTTGACAAGTAACAATTTCCAGGACACACTCTGAGAAATAGTGATTCAGCATGTCTGGGGTAAGCCCAGGACTGTGCATATTACAAGCTTCCAGATGATCCTGCCACCAATTCCAACCTGGCATTAGAGAGCCAGTGATCCAGACTAGGGTGTGGAAGGAATTAGCTGAAGGCTAGGAGGCAGTGATTTTGATAAAGGAGACTGATCAAGAGGGCCTCTGGAAAGAGAGGAGGTGGAATGACAAAAATTGGCAAATTGAAAAATATTAAGGAGGCAGACTCTAGAGAACATGCATCTGGCTGCCAGTGAAGAGTAGGAGGGGATGGCAGAAACTTGGGTTACATGTTATTAAGGACACAGGAACAGGGGCAAGTTAAGTAGAGGAGCATGGTGAATGTGAATGCCTTGGGATATGTGAAGTGAAACATCTAAACTTGGGTATATAAGTTTGGAACTTGGGAGAGATACTTGGGTCAACATACTGAAAGCCACAGGAGAAGTTGAGGTCAACCAGAAGATGGCTTCTGGGAGAGAGAAGCAGTTGTCCCAGCATGAAGCTGTGGGAGGTGTCAGAGCTTAAGAGGAAGGAGGAGGAGGTGAAAGAGATCAAAGATTGAGGAGAAATTGAAAAGTAGAGCCATACTGGTCAAGGGAATAGAGCTCTTGAGAAGGTGAAAAAGGGTGGCCATACAGGAGCAGTGTGGAGTGTTCTCCATTGAGTTGGGGCTGTGGATGAGAACCTGTAAGACCAGAGCATACTTGTAGAACAAGGGAAAGAAGGTCCTTTAAGAGGAACTTATGATCTTTGTCACATGGTTCTGATGGAAGAGTTGCATAAGGACTCAGCTCGGGCTGCACAAAGTTAGCAGCTTAAAACAATATAGATTTATCATCTCCCATTTTCTGTGGGTCAGGAGTCCAAGCCTTGCTTAGCTATTTGAGGGTCTTTCACACAGCTGCAATCAAATTGTGAACCAGGCCTTGGGTCTCATCTCAAGGCTCTATAGGGGAAGAATTCACCTCCAAAATCAGGTGTTTGTTGTGAAGACTCAATTCTTTGTGGGTTGTTGGACCAAGAGCTTCTGTTCCTTGCTAGTGGTTGGTTACCTGGCCACGTAGGATCTCCAGTGTAACTGCTTGCTTCATCAGTGCCACCAAAGAAGAGATTTTACTAGCAAGATGGAAGTTGCAGTCTTTTATAAGCTAATCACAAAGTGATATCTCATCACCTTTACCATATTCTATTGGTTAGAAACAGGTTGCTAGGCCTGCCTCCACTTAAAGAAAGGGGACTACACAATGACAAATATCAAGAATGGAGTCCATTGGGGTATTTTAGAGACTGTCTGTCACACAGCCATAGCCCCTATCCCCACCCAGGTGACTGAGGTCAGCTCTGCAGAACACCCAGCTGCCCACGCCATGGTCCTAGTCACCATCAGGATCATGGACCTCAACAACCATCCTCCAACATTCTATGGAGAAAATGGACCTCAGAACAGGTTTGAGCTCTCCATGTTTGAGCACCCACCCCAGGGTGAGATTCTGCATGGCCTCAAGATCACCGTCAATGACTCAGACCAGGTGTGTTGCACTACCCTCTACCCTGTCTATCCATAGACCACTTGGGGCCCAAAGCTACCTAACTGCATCAGCTTTCATTTGAGTCACTGGGGCCAGGAAGGCAATAGCAATGAAGAAAGCAAGAGGTAATAGCCAGGAGGGAGAGGTGAGAGAACAGCTAATCAGACTCTGCTCAGCTGAAAATTACTTACAAAGAATTAGAAATGAAAAGTCAGTGAAAAAGAACAACTCTGTATCTGTCCCAAAGAACAGGAGTTTGTGAGTGTGCCTTATCACCACCTCCTTGGCCAGACACAGGGTCCAGTACTGTGTGTTTATTTTGCTTGATTCTCATAACTGGCTACGAAGTTAATAGCCTTGGTACACCTTAATAACTGGTTAGGAGATTTTATCCCCTCACCTATTGTTGTTGTTATGTGCCATCGAGTCGGACCCAACACATAGCAACTCCTCTTTGGGTTTCTGAGGCAGTATCACTACAGAAGGAGATTGTCCCACGTTCCTTTAGAGGAGTGGCTGGTAGGTTTGAACTGCCAGCCTTCTGGTTATTACACTCTCCTCCCAGACTTAAGGTTATATGAAGGCTCCTGACTTAGTACAAATACATAATGAATTTATATTCCCAGTTATCTTTCTTGTTTCTCTCTCCAAACTCTGTTGCCCAGGGAGCCAATGCCAAATTTAACTTGAGGCTAGTGGAACCTGGGGGCATCTTCCGAGTGGTCCCACAGACAGTCCTGAATGAAGCCCAAGTCACAGTCATTGTAGAGAATTCAGCAGCCATTGACTTTGAAAAGTCCAAAATGTTAACTTTCAAGGTAGGTGGAGCTGTATACTGCCATCAGTGGGTCCCCAAAGCTCAGACCAGTGACAAGATTCATTTCTGGGGGTCCTTGTCACTCCTGGCCCCTCATATCCTACTCCTGCCTTCATCTCTCCTGCTGTGCCTAACTTGGGTAGCAAGATGGGGAGGGGAGAGGAAGAAGGTGTTTAGACAGAACCTCACTGAGTTTCTCAGCTTCTAAACAACCACTGTCCCTAGGAATGCCTGGGTGGTTCAAAGGGAAACTATCAGTATAATTTACCATGTTAATCAGTTAGGAGAGAAAAAGTATTTGCTTATCAAGATGGATGGTTTCTCATATGCCTTTTGACATCTGGCATTGATTCTGATGAAAACCTTAGCAGAAGAGGGGAAAAAATATTTCTTTAATATTATTCATGATTATTTAAAACTATAAATATGTGTAAATAATGCATACTATGTTTAAGTATACAAGTAATGTTGTTGTTGTTGTTATGTGCCGTTGAGTCAGCCCCGACTCATAGCGACCCCTCCTTGGATTTCCAAGGAAGTATCACTACGGAAGTAGGATTGCCCAACCTTCCTTCCGAGGAGTGGCTGATGGGTTTGAACTGCCAGCCTTCTGGTTAGCAGTCAAGTCCTTTAGCCACTATGCTACCAGAGCTCCTACAAGTAATGTAGTAATACCAAAAATAAAAATCCCAACTCATTGCTATCAAGTCAGTTCCAATTCATAGCAACCCTATAGGACAGATCAGAACTTCCCCCATAGTTTCCAAGGCTCTAATCTTTACAGAAGCAGATTGCCACATCTTTCTCCCATGGAGCTACTGGTAGGTTTGACTGCTGAATTCTCAGTTAGTAGCTGAGTGTTTAACCACTGCACTACCACAGCTCCTAATATAGTAATAGTAAACAAAAATATTTGATTGATATTTATTTAAATTATTATAATTACTTATAATCATATACATTTACACATAGACATTTATAGCCAACATCATGCTTAACAGTGAAATACTAAAAGCATTCTATGAGTTATGGACAATACATGGATCCTGTTGTCACCACTGCTATTTAACAGTATTCCTGGAAATGTACCCAGTGAAATTAGATAAAGAAAGAAAATAAGAAGAGGTGTAAATATTAGAAAGGAAGAGACAAAAGCATCATTATTTGTAGGTGATGTGATTGTTTGCTTAGAAAACCTAAGAAAAATGATTGAAAAATGGTTAGAAACAGCAAAATTGCTGATATGACTGATTAAAAAGTTACTACACAAAATTCAATAGTTTTCCTACATACAAAATAATAATAATAATAACAATGAGAAAATATATTACATTAAAGGATTTTCTCTTATAACAACCAAAAGATCAAATTCCTATAAATTACCATGACAAGAAATATGCATTAGCTAAATTACAAAGATGAATAAAGAAGACCAAAGAAGAATTAATGCAGTTGAAATATGATGTTGGTGTAGAATATTGAATATAGTATGGACTGCCAGAACAAACACATCTGTCTTGGAGGAAGTATAGCCAGAATGTTCCTTAGAAGTGAGGATATCAAGACTTCACCTATTGTGTTTTGGTCATGATATCAGGAGGGACTAGTCCCTGGAGAAGAACATCACACTTGGTAAAGGAGTCAACAAGAAAGGGGAAGATCCTCAACAAGGTGGATTCACACAATGGCTGCAATAATGAGCTTAAGCATAGCAATGATTGTGAGAATGGCACAGGACTGGGCAGTGTTTCCTGACAACATCTAACAACAATAAAACTGCAAAGAATTGCAAAATTTCACAAAGAAGTATAAAGAAGCAAAAACAACATAAAAACATACCTTAAAAAAAAGTCCAGTCTCCTTATATTAACAATTAATTTAATGCCAGTCTAATTAAATCTTCCCAGAATTTTGTGGACAGGTCAAAAGGGAACTTGAAAAAATTATACTGGTTTATGTCTGGAGAAATAGTCTTATAAGAATAGATTTCTGTGGGAAAAAAAAGAAGATGAGGCAGTAACTTTCTCTAATAGATATTAATTATTATGAAGCAAAATAATTCAAAAATTGGACCAGGAAAGACAAAAGAAATTTACTCAAGTACAAATGGGAATTTAGCACATAAGCTATATGATATTGCGAGTCAATGGGGAAAGCAAGATATTAATCAATGCATGGCATAGCGGAAGCTTCGGTTTTAGGAAAAAGCTAAGAGTTATTTCCTAAATGAGAGGAGATCATGCCTTAGGTGATACCCTTGTAAGTGGTGGCAGGAATAGCTGGTCTGCAGCTGAGAATGGGAGACAAGGCAGTGGACACCAGGACAGCTCTAGGGGTACAGGGGGTGGAGAGGCTCACTGCAGGGTGATTTCCACCCAGGCAGCTCCCTGCTTTTCTTCCTTCCCCAGCTCTTGGCCATCGAGATGAACACCCCAGAAAAATTCAGCTCCACGGCGGATGTTGTGATCCAGCTGCTAGATACCAATGACAATGTCCCCAAGTTCACCTCCCACTACTACTTTGCCAGGATTCCCGAGAATGTCCCAGGGAACTCAAATGTGGTGGCTGTCACAGTGGGTTTGAGGACTGCCCCAGGGACTGGGGATAGGGGTGGGTGCCCAGTGGAGGGGCAGAATGGATCCGGGGTGGCCTTGCAAAGTCAGACAAACTTTGGTTCAAACTGTAAAACACACATGATCAGCTGCATCCTTGAACAAGCTGCTTACCTTCTCTAAGCCTCAGTTTCTTAACCTGTTGTTGTTGTTGTTGTTATGTGCCATCAAGTCAGACCCGACTCATAGCGACCCTTCCTTGGGTTTCTGAGACAGTATCACTACAGAAGTAGATTGTCCCATCTTCCTTCCGAGGAGTGGCTGGTGGGTTTGAACCGCCAGCCTTCTGGTTAGCAGTCAAGTGCCTTAGGCACTATGCAGAATGGGGTAATAATATCTCCTAGGACTTTAACAAGGATATATGTGTAAACCTTGAGCACAAGGCATGAGACCCACACCTTTTCTTACCCCATTTATAAAGGAGGATTAAATGTCCTTCCAAACCTAAATCTTTTTATTCTTCCCAACACTTGAGACCTCCTTGGAGGAACATGAGGGTTCTAGAGCATGTCTCCAGATCAGCTTCCCCCAAGTTAGACCATTGCTTTGCAAGTGTAGGCAGCCCTCACACAAATAAGCTGCCATTGTGCCCAGACAAAGGGACAGGTATCACTGGGAATTTTCTCTCTTTCAGGCTGTGGATCCAGACACAGGTCCCGGGGGTGAAGTCAAATACTCCATCTATGGGACCGGGGCCAACCTGTAAGTACAGCCAAAAGCCAGAACACAGCCCTGGGTTAGGGATTTGGGATGCTGAGGGTAGAGGGATTTGGGTCAAATGCAGGAAGAAGCTGGCAGGACTGGAGCCTGGGTCAGGAAGGTAAGCATGAGGGTGAGGAGTAGAGGGGAGCAGGGGAGAGTATGAACAGAACTGTGGGAGGTGCCTGCAAGTAGGAGAGAAGAGGGACCATTGTCATGGCTGGATTAGGGCTCAGGAGCAAGCAGTGCTGGGCTGAGAAGCTACAGGAAGAATGGAAGGGCTGCATTGTCAGCTATTAAGCTCAATATTAATGGGTGAGTGAGCAGATGGATGAATCTGACTCCCTCAATCAGACTAAAAGAATATGGAGAAGAGCAGGTGGAACCTTGGAGAAGCAGCATGATGTCTGTTGCCACTTCCCAGAAGCAGTTCATTAATGGAGGGATGTGTGTATGCATGTGCATGTGTGTATGTGAAGGATGCATTTGTGTTCATGTGAGCACATGTGAGCATACACGTATGTGAGTGTGCATGTACATATACACATGCATGCCTGCATGCTCGGTGCACTCTGCCTGGCAGATTCTTGATCCATCCTTCCACTGGGATCATCTACACCCAGCCTTGGGCCAGCCTGGATGCTGAAGCCACTGACAGGTACAACTTCTATGTGAAGGCAGAGGACCTAGAGGGCAAGTATAGCCTGGCTGAGGTGTTCATCACCCTGCTGGACGTCAATGACCACTATCCCCAGTTTGGACAGAACATCCAGGAGAAGACCTTGGTGCTGGGGACCTCGCTGAAAATTGAGGTAGGCTATGGAGGCAGCTAGCTTCCTTTGGTCAGGAGGGTTCTTTCCCTTAAAAGCCCTATTTCAGTAGCTGCAAGAGGAATTGTGGCATAAAAATTAATTATATACATTTATATAAATA